TGGTGTTTTTGATTTTAGCCATTCTGACAGGTGTAAGCTGGTATCTTAAAGTTGTCTTGATTTGCATTTCCCTGATCGCTAAGGAAGTTGAGCATGACCTTAGGTGTCTTTTGGCCATTTGAACTTCTTCTGTTGAGATTATCTGTCTGGTTTTTTATAAGTCCTTCAGCTGAATATATAAACATTGCTATGTATTGTGTTCAGTATTCAAACTTTTTTTTAACATTCCTCATTGAAGGTACATGGATTGTAGATTTGAGGGGTGATAAACTCAGTATGTCCGTAGTTGTAAAAGCTGTCCAACAAATGCTTTAAAGTAGCTACAAAAAATTTATGAAAACCTTTGAGTAACAAATGCTGAAAAAGAAATGATCAACCAGAAAAGCAATCATGTGAAAAAAGAACCAAATGAAATTAGACACCTGAGAAATGAAATAACATGGGGTTGGGGTGGGGGGAGTAGCTGCCACCGAATGAGTCCAACAGTAACTGAGAGATGAAAGGGAGAAACTAAGTGGACTGAAGACACACAATTTGAATTCTGTCAAACAACAGAGAAAATAGAAAGAAAGAACCTTAGGGATTTGAGGCAAATCTTATAACTAATGTGGCGAAAGGAGAGGAAATGAAGGGTGCGGCTGTGAGACTTTGGGATAACCTAATTAATGACTAAAAAGTGTCCAGATTTTGCAAATCCAAAAAAAGGTTAAGTAAACCTTCATCAGAATCACCCCCCCACACACACACATACTAGGTATGTTATAATTCAAATTGTAATGCTACACACACACAACACACACACACAACACACACACACACACACACACACACACACACACACACACACACACCAGACAAAAGCAACAATTGAAGGGTAGACAGGTTACCTGCCAGGGAAGACCAATTCGCAGGATGTGAGATGCTCCACTGAAAAGGAGGAAGAAACAGAACGAAGCATCTCTCAGTTTGTGAATGAAAACTGCTGCAGCTCATGCCAGCAGAGTTCTTCAGGAAGGAAAGAGAAATGCTACCAGCCTCTGATAAGAAGAAAGTCCAACAATGGCAATGGGTTTTTGATCCTACTGTACCTATTGGTTTCGTGGGTGCCTAGGCAGTTTCGTGGATGCTCACCTTACTAGACCTGGATGGAGGTGGGTGGTCCTTGGACTTCCCACAGGGCAGGGAACCCTGATTGCTCTTTGGGCTGATGAGGGAGGGGGACTTGATTGGGGGAGGGGGAGGGAAAGGGGAGGCGGCGGTGGGGAAGAGACAGAAATCTTTAATAAATAAAGAAAGAAAGAAAGAAAAAAAGAAAAAAAAAGAAGAAAGTCCAGGAGCTCTGTGTTCACAGACAGACCTGTAAACACGGACTCCAAAAGTTCTTCCTAGAGGAAGGAAGCAAGGAAAGACTGGAGCTCGAAGCATCAGGAGGGAACATGGGGAGAGACAAACAGGTTCAGGAAAGATGTCTATCCGCTCACCATTCATTGTTTCCTTCTATATGTTGGTTTGGATTGCAGTCTCGCCGCCTTCAAGATAGAAAATGTTTCATCATGAAACCACAGGTCTGAGTTTGGTCTTAAAGGGAGACAGGTACAGGCTGTGTAACTCTTACAAAAAGAAACCGAAGTGAACAGTAAATGGTATGACAGGTGTCCCTTCAGTGTGACTAGAAAGACATGGTTTCAGTATGACTTGCCTGGAAAGCCACACTTTCGTTAACAGGCTGAAGCACACTAGTGCTGTGGCTCAGTAGTCTCTCAGGTCTCTAAGATCGGGTGGGTTGCGTGCTTCGTCCCAGGGTCTTTCATGATACATGTATAAATTTCCTGGCTCAATATATCAGAGACATAGTAAGCAATAGCACTTCGATACTTACTGTTGGCCTCACAGCAGGAAGTAGAGATTCTGCATTTCCAGATGTTCAGGAGAAACAGAGTGTGACTTCGTGTTTTCATGGAGGATTTAAATGGGAAAGGTAAGAACAACATTCATAAAAACTATTAACAGCCTCAGCTTCCTTCCTGGAAGGCTTAAATTTCCTGGTATGCCTTTTTTTTTCTTGCTATTTGCTTTTGGTTGTTGCTGTGTATTCTGTCTGGTTTTGCTTTTGAAATAAGGTCTTACCATGTTGCTGTGACAGGCCCAGAACTGGCTAGAAATCTAGCTGCCTGTCTCCCAAGGGCTGGCATTAAAGGCACGTGCTACAGTGCCTGGTGAGCTTAACATATTTTTACTTTAGCTAAATAGGAAAATGGAGCCATCTTATCTTTAAAGTTTGGTGGGTTTTTTTGTTTGTTTGTTTTTTTTGTTTGTTTTAACAAAACAAGTGAAGAATGAGGAATGCCGCCTTTCCATTCTAGCTCTGGGATCCCAAAGTCATACTGTGGAAATAGAAAATACATTGTAGATCCATACTGGCTCTGTGTGCGCTTTCATAACTCGCCTCTGAAGTCATTGTGAGGAGACATGACTTACCTGAAATTCCCTTGAAATAAACCTACAGCAGGGAGAAGAATTCCAATGTCAAAAGCTAAGGTCCCACAGAGGCTGACATAGCCTCACAAACCCAGCGGAGTAAAAATCCCACCTTCAGGGGATAAATTATCAGGATGATGAAGACACCCGGACCTCGTTTCCTCTGCAGATGATCCTTATGCCCCCGGTATTCTGTGTGAGGCTGGCCCATGGCAGGTTCTGGCTGAATGTCACTGTGGAAATTGTCTTATGACAAAGGCCACTTGTCCTTTTCTGGCTTATTCTACTTCAGCATTCTTTAAAATAATGGTGTTTCTCAAAGTTTCGCACTCAGCGGTCTGCCGGTGAGCTCAGCAACTTTCTCACAGGGCTGGCTCCACCGGAAGCATTTTTATACTGTGTTCTTGTGTGCATTTATACCTGGGCTTGCCCAGAATGGTGGCACCAATTTCATCACACGTGCACTAAGCCTGCTGCTTCAAAGTGTCCCTGTAACTTATTGTTTGCTATAGCGGGAATTGGCTGTGTTTTGTTCCTGGTGGCCAATGCCATTCGTGGGCTGTTTAGACAGAAAGAGAACAGGAAACTGATGTCAAGCTGCAGGAGAAAGGATGAAGGTACTTCAGGGATCTCCCAGATGGATTTGATAAAAGAAATGCAGTTAGGCCCTTGGAACTGGTGCTTGGTCTAGACCGTAGAGCCATTTCCCTCACGACTTACGTCCATACAGATAGGCAAGTCTAGGTAGGTTAGATTTAGACTTACACCACATAGGCCTCCGAAGCTCCTCATTGGCCAAGCGCATGTGCTTGATTCCGCTTTCCCCAGCCTCCCAGCCTTACATACAACAGCATCGCTGACTCAGCAACACGTGCCTGCTCTACAGTGGGCTTAGCTGCGTATTACCACCCTGTTCCTGCTTCTCTCTCTCCTAAGGTTCTGATTTCATAGCTATGCACCCAGCCTTGCAGGGAGAACCAGAGTACCGTCCATTTTGTTCCCTCACCGTATTTCCTCAGAAGCACCGGTTTTCCAATCATCAATTTTTATACTTAAAATGGCAAAATTAGTTAAATACCTAGAATCAGTGTCTATATTTGCTCTGGCAGCACTTAATCCAATAACAGCTTTATAAAATCGGTCTTTACAGGGCTGATGGCTGGAGAAATCCCCTTGATGATTTTAAGTGGAGATCCCTTCCTTGTGAATGCTCTCTACTTTTTCTCAGAATCATTATTCTCAACTGGATTTTCTGTGTTTCCTCCAGGAGGTTGCAAAGGACACAGTTCCAGTGAGACCACTCGTTTCAAATTATCTCTATGGTCAGTTCTATAGGGATCGCCCAGCTTCTGTTTCTCACTGCAGTCTTTCAGAAAATGTTGAAAAATCAGATTGCTTTAGTGCAGCTGTATTTATATCAGTCAAGAAAAATTGGCTTTTGTGAGCTAAAAATTACCATGATTTAGATGTGTGTATGTGGATAAACATATGAAAAATATGTATATATGCTTTTGTGGATTGATTTTGAATATCTATAGCTATATATTATTGGGTTGGTGATTCTACATTAAAAGACCCAAAAAGAGGAACATGGGATGTACTCACTCATATTTGGTTTCTAGACATAAACAAAGGACATTGAGCTTATAATTAGTGATCCTAGAGAAGCTAAATAAGGAGAACCCAAAGAAAAACCTTCATCAGGCGATGAAAGGAGACAGAGACAGAGTCCCACATTGGAGCACCGGACAGAAATCTCAAGGTCCAAATCAGGAGCAGAAGGAGAGAGAGCACGAGCAAGGAACTCAGGACCGCGAGGGGTGCACCCACACACTGAGACAATGGGGATGTTCTATCGGGAACTCACCAAGGCCAGCTGGCCTGGGTCTGAAAAAGCCTGGGTTAAAACCGGTCTCGCTGAACATAGTGGGCAATGAGGACTACTGAGAACTCAAGAACAATGGCAATGGGTTTTTGATCCTACTGCACGTACTGGCTTTGTGGGAGCCTAGGCAGTTTGGATGCTCACCTTACTAGGCCTGGATGGAGGTGGGTGGTCCTTGGACTTCCCACAGGGCAGGGAAACTTGATTGCTCTTTGGGCTAACGAGGGAGGGGGACTTGATTGGGGGAGTGGGAGGGAAATGGGAGGCAGTGGCGGGGAAGAATCAGAAATCTTTAATAAATAAATAAAAATTTAAAAAAAAGAGTAAGGATGATGGCTCAGTCAATAAAATACTCCGCACACAAGCATCTAGCTCTGAGTTTAATCCCCAGTTCCCACATGAAAGTCAGCAAGCAATGTACATTATAATCCAAGCACTGCAGAGGTGGAGACAAGGGAATGTCTGGGGCTTGCTAGTTGAGTAGGTGAGCAGATGCAATAAGAGATTCTGTCTCACAAAATAAGATGGAAGACAGCTGTAGAAAGATACCTAACATGGATTTATGTCCTCCATATATACACATGTGTGCCTGTGCACACATGTACATGCACACACACAAACACAAGCCTCCATGTATACACAAAATAGATGAGGAGTAGTAATGCCCTTCTCAGCAGAAGGGACAAATATTATGACCCCACTATTGACCCAGATAAAGCCAATACAGAACAACAAGACATCCTACAAGGAATCTTACAAATCAGTATGTATGGACATAGTCACAAACATCCTTAACAAAATAAAGGATTGCACAGAAAGGATTGTGTGCCATAAGAAGACTTTCCTCATTAATATGTGAGTTACTGCAGAACACTGTAAGGGGAGGACAAAATCACATCACCTCAATAGACAAGGAAAAGCTTTTATCTAAAATTCACCCGCCTTTTAAGAGAGTAAGACCACTTATTTGTGGGCAGAACTGAAACTCTTTAACCAGATGACAGCATTGTAAAAGGAATTCATAGCTAAAATCCACTTGTGATATGAACTGGATGCTTCCCTTGAGATCAAAAACAGAACAAAAGGAAATCTGCTCAGCTCTTCTAGTCAGTACCTGACTGAAATACCTAGCCAGTCACTCGGGCAAGAAAATCAAAATGCAGACATTTTGCAAGAGAAAAAAATATTTGGTTTTGGAGAGGATATGATATTTTATGAGGAACCCACTAAAAATAGTTAGAACTACAACATGAGCAGAGCAAAGCTTCAGGATACAAAGTCAATTCACAAAATCAGTTGGACTGCCATGCAATTTCAACAGGGGAATTAAGAATTGAATCCCTTCAGAGTATCTTCTATAAGAATAACATAATGGGGATTTGTGACATGCATCTATAATCCCAGCTCCCTGGGAGGCTGGGCCATGGAAATTGCACCAACGGGCTGGACATGGCAACTTGTCAAGATCCTGTCTCAAAATAAAATTCTAATTTTTAAACATTTTATTAATTACTTATTTTGGTGTGTGTGTGTGTGTGTGTGTGTGTGTGGCAGGAATTGTCTCTTTATTGGAATCGTCTTTGGATTTTCTACATGTTTCTCAAACACCTTCTTTGTCTAAGCAAGAGAGATCACCACCAATAAATGTCTTCTTCCTGAATCCCCTCTTAGAAGACCAGTTATAGTTGTGTTTCCTGGTTTGGTTTGCTGAAGTCTACCAGTGTAGAAACACACATTGGTGAAGATTTTCTGCAATGCCCAGTCTGGGACATATTTGGTACCAGAAGAGTCCTCAGCACTGCTCTCAAATACATGAATCTAGGAACACGTGAAACATGGCCAGGGAAAGAGACACAGAGATTATTAACATAAAAGTGAAAATAGCAAAGGTCATACAATCGAAGGAATGAATGGTAAACTGAAAATAAGCTAAATGTCAATCAACAAGGGCTAGGTTACATAATAAAAGAATCATCCATATGCTTAAATACAACACTAAAATGCATCAAAGAATCTATAATATTATGGAAATGAGTTCCAGGTACATTACGTACAAAAGGAAACGACATAGTAGTAAAATCACGTTTATGTAAAAGCATGTTTAACATATAACCCTATGTTCATATTTATATCACAAATTGCTAGCATTCATATGAAACATAAGAATGGCACATGAGTGAGGTAGCCTTTTGCTTTTGGCTGCAAGCCCTTTAAATGCTAGCCACTTACTGTTTTGATATGTTTCACTAAATGTATTTCATACAAACAAGAACTATGCATCTTAGCCTTGGGTGGATGAAAATATTACAGGTTCTGTTTGCCCAGTCCACCTTCTTCTTCTAGGATTTTTATTTCATTTTGACGGTTCTGGAATCAGAAAAGTCTTCAATTTGTCAAAAAATCGCACACCTATTGCAAACTCCGTGTTGACTTATGGCACATTTTTCTAGCCGGGCTAGAGAAAACTTAGAGAAATGAGAAGTGATATGATCAGTAACAAGAGCAATACAGGTGCCTCAAGTTCAGTCATGAGGTCCAGATAAGTGGAGACTTTCCTTTTTGTTCCCGTGACCACGTAATGTCCATGTCTTTAACCTCTGTGTCTTAGGGACACGTCGAAAGGAGCTTTCATTTGTTATGTTATACAGCGTTTCATGGATGTAAACAAGCATGGTATAGGAGTTTATGTAAGGAATAGTTGACTGGATCAACAATTTACCCTCTGTCCCAAGACCTCTATCTAGGCCCAACAATACACCAAATGCTATTCTTCCCTATAAGCAATACCTCTTGGTCAGACAGAAGATCAACAGAGATATGTCTAAACATGCCAATGTGATAACAGTCTTTCTACTGAGAGCCTACTGTCACCTGAGCACTTTTGACCTGGACAAAACCAGAATTGGTTTCAATTATTTTTATTCAAGAGTTAAATCACTAAATTCATCTGCACCTACATAACTATATTATGTTTTAGTTCATGGAGTGAGTCTTATCTGAAAGCAAATATGGTAATAATTTATGAAAAAAAAATATTAGTTTAATAAAGCATCCAGAGAATTCAAAGAAAGCAAAGGGAGGAAAATGGGGGTGGTGTTTAATGAGTTGGTAGGCTATGCTTAATATTTTAAAGAGAAGCTGAATAGTCATGAGGCAAATATTGAGTAAAATTAGGTATCAAAACTAAGACAGCATGTGGACGTGTAGAGTAAGGGATATTTTTAAATGTAAAATTCCCGATCTCTTTCTTTTTATTGGGTGTAAAGAACTTCCTACCCCTGGACCTGTGGCTGTTACCATCCTGGCAGGAATACAGACATTCTAAAGAGACTGCTTGTGCCTCTTGTCTCTCAGACTATTTAGACAGTGGGCCCAAGACATTGTAATTTCTCTAGGAATTAGAAGAAAAGGACTGAACTTGTTGCTAGGCAAAAAAAAAAATCATATCCCAAGAAGAGGTTTAACGTGGTTCTGACAACTGAGACCACCATCTAGGACAGTGGTTTCCAGCCCGCAAATCGTGGCCCCTTTGGCAAGCCTCTATCTCCAAAAATATTTACATTATGATTCATAACAGTAGCAAAATGGCAGTTATGAAGTAGCGATGAAAATAATTTTATGGTTGGGGGTCCCATAACTTGAGGAGTTGTTTTAAAGGATCACAGAGTTAGAGAGCTACCATGTTGTTGCTGGGAATTGGATTTATGACCTCTGGAGGCGCAGCCTGCGCTCTTAGCTGGTAAGCCATCTCTGCAGCCACAGCATCAGGAAGGTTGAGAACCACTGCCCGAGGGAATCAGTCATGGGTCAGTGATGGGTAGAATCACACCGTGGTTGGAACTAGTTAGTTATGCATATCTCTAGCCTTCCTTTTAAGTCTAAACTTCATGTGAAGGTGGATTTGAGCTATCCATCAGTCTCTTTGTTGCTTCTCATAACTAAGTCACATTGGATACATAGTCTTTCTTGGCTTTTCCCTATTATTTGTCTCTTTAATTATCATGCCATGGACAGGTGCCTAGCCTTAATAGAGCTTCCGGAGCCCAGGTTCTGAAACAACTGATGGTTGAAAGGGGACACGGACATATTTTCTGAAGAAATTAAAGACATCTTCTAGGGGCGTGGTGACCTGATGCTCCCACCAATGAGAAGAGTCCTTGCTTCAGATACTCCCAAATAGCAGGTGGCTGATGACACTGAGAAAAATCTAAGGAGGAAGAACAGGTGGCCCTAGACCCAGTCAGCCAAGAAACTAAGTATGAGATCTGGGTCCTGCGCTCTCAGGATCCACGTTTCCATGCTGACTCAGGGGGCTTGAATGACAAACACAGAGTGTGGAGATTTCTAGTATGTAGACAGTCTGTGGTAACTGAGAGGGGGAGATATTAAGAAATAGGCTACTAGTGCAAAATGTACATATCCATGCTGAAATATGTGTAATAATATCTCACTAGGATCTAATACCATCTTGCTATCAATAATATATCTATTATTATTTTTTATAGGCCTGTATAGAGGATAATTCAGTAACACACACACAACACACACTTGCCTCTGTGGGTTTAGTCACTTGTGCCCACATAACTGCTTACCAGTAAAATTATGGCCCCTGTATCTAAAGTCAGGTTCTCCTGCTGGGGATTTGGGTTCTTTGAAGAGAAAGCGAAGACTCCCACTTCTGAAGAATGAAATCATTCTATCTTTTCCTCATGATGTTGGTCACACCCATTTCCAGAAGGATAGAGAATCCTGAAAAAAAATGCTCGAGAAATTTGCTGATGGGCTTGGTAAAAATAATATCTCTTTCTGGGAGGCAGTTTTGCCCTTTCCAACCCACAGTAAGGCTTCTTAGAATAAGACATTGAAATTCAAATAGCCAGTGGTTCTTCTAACCCTTTGAGAAAATGCTCCTCTGAGCACCACTTCCTTTTGATCAATGCTGCACCTTAGTGGGCCTTCTTAGGACAAGTTAGCTCTGATTTCTCTCTGTCGAGTCTGCTCTTTCTGTTCCTTGCGATGGTTGTCAAAGCCCAGATGGGAGCAAAATGAGCAGATTTGTCAACAGCAGGGCAGAATGAACCTTTTGGTGACTTTTCTTTCTTCTTAATATTTGACCTTTCTGTTGCTAGTTGGGAACTTCCAGCCCAGAGCTGGTAAGAATAATTCCTTGGACAAGAAGGTTTTATGGCTCTAAAATGAGATGTGGAAAAAGGGCATCATA